CTTTCATTTATTATTAATCCTCTGAAAAATATTTGCTTTCAATTTAGGTTTTTGGGAAAAGTGTTGGTCCACAATGTGCTAAGTATATTTTTGGACCCAGCAATAGAAGTTTGTGGAAAAACAGTTATGAAGGAGTGATTGCAGAAGATATGGAATATCGGAATATATTAGAATACTCATATTTCACAAACTGAATTAGCAGGCATGCTTTAAATTTATTTCTTTTTATAAAATCATTTATTTATATTTTTTTTGTTTTCTATAAGGTACGTAAAAATTGAATATTCAAATAGAAGTAGCTTCCTACTGTTAGTAAATATTTATTTCTTGATAATTTCATTATTATTTTAAATATATATACGCATATATTACAAATGAAAAATATATGAATACGTTTTTAGTTTACTCCTTTTGGAGCTCGATTTTGTAGGATAAAACATAAAATTAAAAAAAAAATAATTACGATTACTTTGAATTTGAAGGGGAATTAATAAATGAAAAATTAAAATGGGAAAACACTAACTTTCAAAACGGAATATTTTACATATACCATTAAAATACAATAGATGCAATTAAGTATATATTACATAGGGGTGATATTAGAAGAAGCATAGTAAGTACTATATAAATGAATTTTTTATGAATAATACTTTTTAAAAATAAAAACAATGATAAAAAAGAAAATGCAAATTAAAGAATTGGTTTGAGGAATTCTATCAAGAAATAATATTATACTTGATTAGGATATAATCTATAAAGGTGCCCACTGCACATGTAAAAGATGGACTTTTAATGTTTTATTAAAAAAGAAAAAAGAGGGCTAGGGAAAATATATATAAATGCATTTTTTTTTAAAACTGAAAACAGAAACATTTATGAGAATAAGCTAATATAAAATGTGAATTAATAAGAAATACTAATATTTTTTTATTATTCCGACATATGTGAGGGAATGTTGGGAGACACCTGTTATTATAAACATGAATGAAAAATTTATTAATAGAAATGATAAATAAATATTATTAATAAATTTTAGAATTCAATAAAAGGGATAATATGGAATTCATTCATTAGAGTAAATCAAACGTAACCTATGTGCGTAATGAATATTTCTTAAGAAATAGGAATGCAAAAATGAAATTTATAAGAAAATTATATATTCCTAAATGATCAAGTGAGAATAGGAAAATTTTTATTTAACCAACTATTATTAAATTGAAATTTTCAGTTTTTATTACTTTTTTAACTTTATTTTCTCTATATGTTAACTGTACACTAGTAATTAATCCGTTATTGCACATTTATGTAAACCGTTATCATTAAATGCGTTTTAATTCTGTTGGAAAACCCTTCAAGGCTGCATTGATTCAGAGTAAAACACATTTAAATGATAAAGTAACTACATGCATGAATTGATGAATTAAAATTATAACTGCGTCAATATGCATACTTTTTTTTGTAAATTAAAATTATCACTTTAATACAATATATATTATATATATATATTTTAGTGGAGACAAAACAAGGATAATTTTTATATTATTAGAGATGTTATTTATATATGCACTGCTTACTTAATTATCATTCCATTCATTATTATATATGAATAGAAAACATTACATAATGTAAACTATTTATGTTGTTTACGTCATTTTTTATACATTTTTAATGACTTATGCTAATTCATTCAAATTTGCACTCAGTTGTAGCTATTTATAAAATGATCAAAAATGTATTATTATTTCCTTTGATTCTGTACGTAAAGAAAATTAATGAATTTATTAGTTTATATATATATTATTTTTATTCTGCAATGCTTTATAAATACGTGTACTATATATATCTAATTGTAATATTATGTCATTGTGAACATTGCTTAATTTTATGAGGTGAATGAAACAGTTTTTATTTGTAAATTGTTATTATGTTCATTTTTTATGTCATCTACATATTTCCAGATGTATTTTTATTGTTTTTTTATCACAGAATAAATCTTAACTTTGAATGTTTTTCATTTTTTTTTATAACATTTAATTATATAGTGCAATTGAAACAAAATTTTAATGTTATAGCATTATGATGCAATGACAGAATGATTAACAATTATCATCAATTTTAAATGTTTTTAAAATTTTATAACATAAAGCTTGACTAGTTTGTATAAATAAATTGTAGTTTATATAAATGATAAAAATATATAGTTATCTGCCACCTGGTAATTCGCTCAAGACTGTACTAAAAATGGTGCTATCAATATTATATTTCCGTGACCATCCAAAATTATTTATATAACAATTAATATTATTTAACTATACTATATATTTTGTCTTAAAGTAACATTTCCATTAATATTTAATGCTTCTACTATATAAAGGGAATAATACTTGGTAACATTTCTCCTAATCAATATGTTCTCTACTTTATCTATTTCGTATACGTATTATATATTTAATATAAGCAATGCTTATGGAAATGAAAAAACAAATTGTGGTTTATTAATTTCAAAATATTAATTATATATTTAATAATTTTTATTCTGAATAATTGATATTTTTTTAATTATTAATATATATTTATGATGTAGGGATAATATTAATGCTATATAAAAAACTGTATAATTAATGTGAACACTAAACGATTTTGTGATATGACATCATATTAAATATATTTATATGAAAAATGTTGCTAATATTGTTCATATGGTGTCAAGTTGCATTGTTTATAAATTTTGTATACAATGTGGATATAAATATATTACAACAATATCATGTTTTTTTAAAAATTCTAAATGTAATTATTAAAAATGTTGCACAATGAAAAAATGAGTTTGACTATATGTAGTACAATATTAGTAAGGAACAATTTATGTTTTATAAATATATAAACTAAATAAATAGTAGTGATAAAATAAACTATCTGTTGAAAGAAATAATATTACAATTTAACTGATATTTATCTATTTACAGTAGGTAATTGTTTATAAATTTTTTACAGTGCAATAATATATATGTGTGTTAGATATATATTTTTTTATATATTTTTATTAATCCATTTTAAATGTAATATTGAACTATATTAAAAATTTGTTTATGTATGATATTAACATTTAATGACGTAGGTTATTATCGATTTCCTTAATATAATATATATTTAATGAACTCACGTACTCTGTACGTTATTTGCCGTTAATTTTTTGGAGAAGAAAATTCAAAGAAATATTTAAATTATAACATATTTTTATTAAATATTAATATTCATCATAAGTTAGATGAATTTTACATAAACGAATTGCATCGTGCTTAAAGTTATCCCTGTATTTACACTTTGCACATTTAGATTGTATTGTGGAATATAAATGTTTCACATTTTCTTAATTAAAATAGAAACATTAGTTTCTAAAATTACAGTTATACAATATCACATACATTTTCATTATAACGATTTATGAAAGCAATAATATTAATTATTTTTATATTTCAAAAGATATTATAATCTCCCAAAATAAGGATATTAATATAAACATTATATATTTTGTGGATTTGTTTTGTTTGAGTAAAGTGCGTTAATCTAGTTACAGTTATAGAACATCATATTTGTTTCAATTTTAGAGGAACATAATTTTGTTAAAGAAATGTATTAATCAAAGTATTCTCGAAGAAAGCAAAATAACGAAGGTGAAGTATCACAAAGTTTAATTAAAAAATAAACAGTTTAATGTGAAAAAAAAAAAAAAAAAAATTGACAAAAAAAAAACACGATAAAAAAGTATATAGGTTTATAGTTAACAAAAAAAAAAAAATAATTTATGAATTTAGTTAATATTTCATAATTATAATATTTGTAAATGTTTTTTCTATTATTATATTTTTTTCATTTATATATATTCGTATATATACAACATATTTAACAAAAAACAAAGGCTTCTTTATTAGGAATGTATAAACTGAAAAAACATATTATCTTATAATAACAGAAAAATATTAATAATATTAATTGTTAGTATAAGAAAATAACTTGGTAAAGTTTCATGCAATATCATTATTTCTTGTTCTTTTAGTTATCATCACAACATATTTTTAGATTATTGCTTGTAACAAATATATTATGAATCCTTTAACTCTAGGAGCATTCATAAACATCATTATATTTTCTAATATAGAACATCTTAAAAAAAAATTTACTTATAATAATATTGGCTTCACATGTAACTTCATATAAAACATTTTACTTGAACATTCAATAAATGCCACTATTTCTATCTATATGTTTAACAATTTATATGTAAGATATGTTTCTCTATTTTCATGTACTTCCAGTATTTTTGGGAGTGCCTTACAGTGTTTTTAGTCATTATTTGTTCCCTCCTTAAATAAATATAAATATATAATATCTAACTTTACGCAACAAATTCTTTTTTTTTATTCATCATTGTTTGTTAAATTATTGGAAAATTGTTATTTGTCTATTACATTTGTGTACTATAATCAAACATTTATTACACATGCATATTATTAATGTATTACTTTCTTTATTTCACATATTTTATACAATTTATAAAAGCATTGTAAAAATTTTAATCCTTTTAAATTTGTTTAATATATTTTATAATTTAACATGCTTCCCTTATATTTTTGTTGTGTTTATAATAATATTTATGCGATGCATTATTCTATTAGAGTACTGTAGACTGAGAATTATTAAAATTTTCTATGTTTTAACATAAAATTGCGAATTTTTTATTCGTCTATCTCAATAAACTTAATTTTCGCATTTATATTAATATTTTTATTACTTACATGAACTTGTTAAATAGATTTTTACACATCTATAACACACATAGATAACAATTTAATGTTACACAAGTCAAAATTAGTCAAAAATTTGTTCAGGAGTTCATATATTATGTTTTCATAATGAGCTTTTTCGGAATAAATTATTATTTCGTTAGCAATTCTAAGAATTAAAATAATTATTATTAAAGCAAATCATAATGCATTGCGTTAAAAACGACTATATGCAAAAGATATCCTATTCTCATCAGAATCTGGATTTTGTAATAGTATTTTTTGCAATTTTTCTTTTGTTTTTTCTCTTTTTTTTTTACTTTTCTTGTTAGAAATCATTCCTAAAGGTGTGAACTATTAAATAAAAACAAATAAAATTGTAAAACTTAACTAATGCAATTATTAATATAATATATACATTTTTATTACGTCAGTTTTTGCTTACTTTAATAAGAAGGATTAATAACAGAATAATTGCACATATTACTACACATGTTAAGATATATATTTTTAATGGAATTTCGTTTCCTTTTTCATTAGATGTTTCTGGTGTATTATTAGGATTGGCTGTTACTGAAACGACAATTTTTGTGGAGTCACCATTATTACCACTATTTATCTCATTTATATTATGATTTTCAGTATGCATTTGTGTAGTACTTGATTGCTGAAGTTGTGTACTATCTATAGATGACAGTGAATCACTCACTTGTTCAGATTCTTCAGATTTACCAGATGTAGAATCACTGAAAGAGGAATTTTCTTGCTCTTGTGAAATATTTGGTTGACATCCAACTATTCCTTTACAAGTTTCATTTGGCGCAGGATTTTCAACATTAGCAACATTACCTGTAGGTTGTTCAGAAAGGGACACATGAGGATTTTTATAAACACAAGTTGAATAACTCCTTTGGTTATTTAAATTTGTTTTAGAAATAATATATACAATATGTACGAGTGAAAAATTCTGGATAAAATAACCTGTATCCACAGATTCACTGTTAGGAAATAATCCAGTTCCATTATTTTCTTTAGGAAGTGGTTTGTGATCACGTGTTTCACCTTCAGTAACTTTATGTTCAGGTTTTTCAAAATTACTACCTTCGTCACCGGAATGTCCAGGATTATGGACTGCACCACTAGGACCTATTTGTTCAGTATCACGTTGAACTGAATCTACATCATAACACGTTCTAACATGAGGGGTTACATTACTAGGAATTTCACTATCGGAAGTTTGTTCACAAAAAGATTTCTCTTTTACAGATTTCTCATCATGTTTAGTATCATGAACTGGATTGTCACATTGAAGATTAGTATGAGGAATTTTTTGGCATAAATGATGCCCTCCAGATACACCACTTGGATCACAATCCTCTGTAGAACTAATGTGTGGATGATGTGTACAGGAATCAATTCCTAATTCACAATTTATGGATTGATCTCCCTCTAATGCATGTTGTGGACAAGTTTCAAGTAAACTTGTGGCTTGGACAGGTTCATCAGACACTTGTTCAGATGTTTCAATAGCATTCCCATGAGATTTATCTGGGGGTAACTCGCTATGTACTGCATCAGTAACTGTATTTTCCAATCTTGTCCTTTCTACATCAGCACTACCTTGATTTAAATTTGGAGATGTTTGTCTTTCTACATCTCCCTCTTCGGTGAATTCTGCATCAATTTCCGATATTGGTTCTCCTTCTTTATCACTAGAGGCTATTACTAATTTTTCATAATCATGTTTTTCTTCAGAGGAATCTTCAATATGAACTGATTCTTTAACTAGAAATGCGCAATTTATGGGGAACCCAAGAAATTTATTACATTTAACTTGATACTTTTTTATTTCCTGCTCTTCACATAAGGGTTTTGATAACAATTTTTTCTCATAACATGACTTTAATGTATTTTCTTTTTCATTTAGATATATTTTTAACTCATTGCATAATGTGGATTGGTTAGAAATTTCCTCTAATTCATGCAAATATAATTTATCATCAATTTCATGCAAAATATGATCATATATATGCTTGCAATTATGCGATGTTACATTTGCGACATCTTCAAAACTAACAATAGTTGTCGCTGCCATATTCTACCCATTAATTCCTAACAAGTCATTTTTCTTTTTTCATTGTTTAAAAATAAATTTTGAAAAACTAAGCTATGTTTACACGCAAACACATTTAAAACAGGACATTTAAGCTTTTTATAACGTATCATTGGATTATGTCGTTTAGACATACAATGATAACAATATTATCAAATGATATAAATTAATATATTCTAATAGATCACTAAAGTGTTTTAATAATGAATATATAGATCATTTAAAATAATAAAAATTGCACCTACACAGTTATATTAAATAAGTAACTATATAATGAGAAAAACTTAAAAGTATACTTTGAAATAGTTGGTAACAGAATTACGTGTAAAAAAAATATACAACAAATACTTATACGAAAATATACCACATTAAAATTAACTAGTTGCATGTATATATAGATATATGTGTGTGCATCTTTTATGGAACCAAATAATATAATTAACTCGAAAAAAAAAAAAAAATATATACATATACATACATAGTTTAAAGAAATTGAAAAAGTGGTTCTTGTAGTTCCTTTTTTCATGAATACTTTTTTTCTTTTACAATAATTAGAACCACTTTTTATTACATATACTTATATAACTTGTTCACTTTTATCTGTGCATCAATATCTCTTTACGAACAATGTTATGTGGAATAAATAAGTTGGTTTTACTTCTGTTATAAGCAATATTTTGTACAATCATTATTTTGTCATTACTGCTTTCGCGTTGGCATATTTGTGTTTTCGTATTATTACACATAAAGGAAATGAACAAATAATATTTGAATTAAAAAATATATTAAACCTATATTCTTTTAAAAGAAATGTGGTTAAAACTTTTTATTTAAGGTTTAGTGTATATTGTACATTTGCACTACATCATAATTAAACATTTATGATCTTCTTATACATATAATAAATATGTAGGATTGGATCATTTACATATAATTTTTTTATAACATATATATAATCTGTTCATAAACTACATATTTTCTCTTGGAAATGCAATTTATTCTATTTATTAGCTTACATTAATTACCAAAATGAGAAAAAATTAAGCAAGTGAATTAGATATAATTCGTTATTATGTAGAAAATATATATAAATTAAAATAATCATTCATTTTTAATTTTTTAATCATAAGCATTTTAGATAAGGAAGAAAAAGAAAATTAATTTATAATGCTAAAAAATATAAAACAAGTAGAGCGTACAATTATAATAAAATAATAGAAATCTGTTGTGTAAGAAGAATGCATAAAAAAGAAAAAATAAATAACAATATCAGGTATATTATAATTTTATTAAAATAACTTGCATAAATCAATCCATGTAAATAATTTATTAAAATGAGCTTTGATTTATTTTTAATATCTATATTTATAATAGACATTATTTTGTATATAAATCGAGTTTATATAGATAAATATTTAATAAACTATAGAAGAAATTAGGAATTCATAAGATTTAATTATATCATATCAGAATTCATGTTGATATATTTTATTTTTAGAGATTATATTTGTTCTGCATAATATATCTAGCTTAAGGTTTTTAGGATTTATGCTTTGCAGTAAGCGGTTAAAATTCAGTATTTTTATTATTATTATATATAATATGATTGAGGATTATTAATATATAATGTCATAACTCAGATGTGATATATTTAAATCAAATTTATAATATGTATTATTGTAATGCACTTATTAATGAGAGTTTTTATGCAATATATAATTTTTTATTAAAATTACGTATATTCATTTATATGCAAAATAACGAGTATAGATTTATTGTATGGATAAAAGTTTATTTCAGAAGGACTGACAAAGGATCACTTTTATAATTTTGTAACTGCTACATAAAAATTGTCTTTAGGCATTAAACATTAGGGATATTATATCGTCTAAGTTTTACTGTTTTGTTCTGTGCTCTATCAAATAATATAAATATGTAATAAAGTAAAACAACATATCTCACAAAGCGCAAATGCCCCAAAATAACCAAACCACATATATTTTTTCTTCTGGGTTATTTAAGAATAAATTAACTTTTAACTTTTGATCTATATATTAATTTTTTTTATTTTTAATTAAATATGTCTGAAAGTAGGAAAAATAGGTACATAATCAGATATTCCAAAAAAATAGACAAGATAAATTATTTATATATATGTATATGAGACAATTATTTAAATATCCCATTACTACTGTCATTTAGGTGACTTATGTAGATGAAATCTTTTCATTGAAAGAATGAAAAAAAATATGTCCTTTGTGTACATGACAAAAAAAATTTAAATGCAAATTTAGCGGTAACCAATAAAGAATTTAAAAAGTAAGAAATAGAAAAAAATGTAAAACAGAATAAGTATTATTATCTACATTGGGATTTCATCTAATTGCATATATATCGGATGACGAAAATTCTTATTTTATTTTATCTTTTCCACAAAACATATTTGATTAATTCAAATGTATTATTTTTTATGAGTGATATATTTGACATGGCCCCGCATGTTTTTTATGTTGTACCATGCAACATTTCTTAAATATTTTATACAGTAGTGTGAATATCTAAGACATAAGCTATGACTTAATAGAAATTTTCAATTTTTTGAAAAAATGTACAGGATGATATTTTCCTAATTTTCTTTTATTAAAATAATTCCTTTATCTTTTGTTAATTATGCAAATATTATTATATAATTGAGTTATGTCCAAAACGAGCATGTCAATTGGCTATCATCACAATATTTTTATTCATAATGTTCAGTACCATTTTTCGTGGAGATAGCAAAAAATGAAATGTTTTTTTTTTTTTTTTTTTTTTTTTTTTTTGGTTATATATCTTATGTTGTTGTGGCACCCCTGTATTATTTTTTTTTTAAAATATTTAAATTGAAAAAGTTTTATCTTGTAACACTTATTTTATGGTGTCCATTACATGAATGAATGCAATAAAGGGTAAATATTAATTTGTTAGTATACCTATTAATAGACATTATTGTGAAGGAAAATATTACATAATTTTTATTTATATTTAGCATTATGCTATAAATCTTCATATGTATACACATTTACCCATTCATTACATACACATAAAGAGTTATCTATTTATTTTGCATTTTTTATTTCCCAATTTCACCACATCTGTCTGTTGGACAACTTTTCATATTAATTTTAGATGTCTTCCCCATACTACTAGATGATTAAAAATTAAGGAACAAAATCTTATAAGTTGAACATTATTTCTGTTGAAAACATACGATATAAAACTTATTTTAATTTCTTTTAAAACATATATTACAAATTTAGCAAAGATGTATATTTAGTATTTACGCAGTTAAGTGCATATATATGTACTCTTATAAATATACTTAAACGTCTTTTGCACAAACATTGCAGTTGTTCACTCGAAACTGAACACATTCATATAAGTATTACTGTTTTTTCTATATATTCATAATCATTTATAGCATATAAAAATGTGTAACACTGCAGTGTAGTTCTTTGATAGTGCATAACTGTTCGATGAAGTGAAAAAGGAATTTACTTTTATTTGATGTATCATGAAAAGTGGATAATTATGGGATCCTATTTTTCTGAAAATATATTATTTTTTCACTTTATCATCTCATTTGTGTGAAGCGTTATGAAATTATAGAATAAAAAGTAAAAATAAAAACAATTAAATGCGGTCATTAAAAAAATTATTAAGTTCAAAAATTTATCATTATTAAAATAGAGTTTAGGAAACTTCGATGCCATTTATTTTTTAAAATATGGGAAACAGTGTTATTGGATAAAAAGAAATGTGCCTTATATATATGTATATATATAGGCATATATAATTAATTTTTGTTAGTATAAGAACAAAAAAAAAACATTATATTAAAGGACTACACATATAATTAGAACAAAGTATGAACATTTCGTAAATGTTAATGTACTATGTACAACTGTATAACGTGAGAATCAAAATAAAATGTACCAAATTATGGTTAATCTTATTTAAGATTTCAAAATTAATATTTTAACAAACTATAAAAATATAATGATTATGTAAAAATAGAGCAACATCTGCTTACAAAAAAAGACACAATAATTTCCAATAAACTGAAAAAAAGAATAAAATAAAAAACAAATATGAGTATTACAAAGTAAATTAAAATAATAGATTAAATATTCTTGTATTTTATACATCAGTGTTGGTTTTTTATTGACCAAAAAGAGAATGCTCTCCTTTTAACTATGTAATTGCTATTTCAAAAGGTAGTGTATTTTGCCATTACTGGCAATGCTCATTGTCTGCATATTAATATTCCAATTTATTCCGAGCAATACTGATTTGTATATACATATGGTGTTAACGGGGGTGGGCTTAGACATTTTAATTTTATTTACTAAATTGAGCTACGTCACTCATACTTTAACAACACAAGAATTTTTGAATTATATTTTTAGCAAAATGTATTTTTCTTAACTTTGTGTACACTATTTATTTCATTATTTTACACATATATCTCCTTTGTCCATCACTAGGCCATTTTTTGTCATTTTCCCATCACTATACTATTTTCTACGATTTGTTATTTATTGGCAGAATTAAGACAGAGTTTACTCTCTGGCAATTTCATATTGAATAGGAAAATTGAATCATTAATCCAAATGCGATAAATGAGTTAGAGATTTCTAAGAGAACCATAACTCGTGTAACAAGATGAGTCATCTGAAAACTCGTAATCCGAAGTTTCATAATCAGAATCATATTGATCCTGCATGAATTCTTGCTGATATGTGCCTTCTATATTTCTGAAACGTTTTTTTCTTCTTATGCCAAGTTTACCATTTATCCAGCATCCGAATGGTGTAAACTAAAATGAAAAAAAAAATAAAAAAAAAAAAAACAGATGATAAATAATAATTTAAAAATATAATTCTTCTATGATAATGTTTCTTTACATGTACAAGGAAATAAAAAAATAATGGTAAAAAATTTGTTCATAGCTAAGTGGAATTTTTACAAACCTTATAAAAACAGAAGAAGGTGAGAAATATTCCAAATAATGTCAATAAATTAATGGATAAATGTTTTGAAGTACTATAACTAACGTTTTCTATAGGACGGGCCACTGGCATTGGGGTACTACATGTTAATGAAGATAATGCAAAATTATCTAAATTCCTTTTAAATATTTTTAATTGTTTGAAATAATCTTGGGATTTACGTGAGTTACGATAATTATCAATAATATTGTTGTAGTAATTCACACCATTTGCTATGAATGAGCAGTATTGTTGCTTTTCTTGTTGAGTTTTATTAACTGTATTATTAACTATATATTGGATGTTTTTAAAAGTTTCCGAATAATCATGTAGCTTTTTTATTATCTCGAATTCATCATTTGCATATTCATTATATGAATGGATATAACAATGGAGTGCAGGTTTAAATTTTTTATAAACTTCTTGAAATGCCATGTAAACGTCATGATCATCGTTAGGAGAAAATGTAATTTGTGTTAATTGATCACGTAACCAATAGTTCAAATATGAACAATATTTGTATGTATATTTCCCATCTTCAGGTTTTTTATTACGTAAATCTGTTAATATATTAGAAAGTTTACGACATAGTTTAATACTTTCATTTTTACTTGAGTATTTATTAGCAAATATATTTTCACAAATATTGTTATCATTAGTTATTTTGTCATCATAATTATCGAATACTTTGTAGTATTCAAGTAAAAGTAAATTTTTCTGTGGCCCATGCTAAGAAATTAAGAGGCAAAAAGACAAAATGTTTTCATATATTTTTACGCTGTATAAGTGTATAAGCAGTCATATGCAAATTCCAATTGTGAAGAATAAATTAGGGTAATCAGTTTTCAAAACACTTTTGGACATTCAAAAATGAGGTGTGAAACATAGAAAATTTTTTGTGAAATATAGAAAATGTACTTGATCTTTCTTTAAAGGATCCATGATATTTAATGAAATATGAATAAAAGGCAATAATGGCTTTTATTTTTTTTTTTCATTTATCTATATATATAATAAATGGCAGTAGATACTTCTTCTTCCCCCTTTTTAAGTATAATTAATTATATAATATATTTATTTTTTTTTCATAATCATTATTAAATGTTATAACATAAATATAATAGGTATATTATACAAAAAGTGTCACATATTTACCAAATTATATTTCAAACGTGGCAATTTTATTGAAAATAATAAATAGAATAAACTTTGTTATATAATATTAATACGAAAAGAAAATAAATATAAAATATATAAAACATTTTGGTTTAGAATTATTTATTATTAAATAAAAATTTAATCCTTAATAGAAATAAATAGATTTTATTTGTCTTCCTCAATTTTTTGATTACTATTGAACCAAATACAATAGCAGTTGCTAAGAAAAACACAATAATTATTTTTTTTTAAATAAATGATATTAGAAATCTTAATAAATAGATTCCTGAAGCCTGTTTTTGATATGTTCCGCTTTATTTTTATTTTATTTTTTTTAAATAAAGTGATTAAATAAATCAAAATATTTTCACGCTTAATTAGCAACATTTATTTTTAATTTTTAAAACAAAATATGAAAAAAAAAAAATTTTTTTTATATATTTTTTTAAACATGAATTTTTATAAAAATTACAACAAAATATATATTACGAAAATAGAAGTTTTATTTTGCTTTACTATATCGTATTATCTTGAGCGTTTGATTAAAAGGACATTAAAGATATGCTTTTACTTTTTTATATACATATACAAATCACTAGAAGTAACAGAACGTATATAAAATTAATTAGTTTACCAATTTAATTGGTAGAAAACCTTAAATCATATTTTTAAAAATCCTCGCAGTTGTATATATTTCTTTACACTACTACATGGTTCGAATTCTTCCATACTTACGGGAAAACATTGTAGTTATCATTATACGTTTATATAAATTTTTTTCCTATTGGAGATTCTCTATGTAGTAATGAAGTGTTAAGATGATTGCATCATGAATTTTTTCACATGAACAGCGTATATATATTGGGTAAACATGCTTTTTTTTTTACGTTAACCAAGAATATTTAACAGTGCAATAAAAAGGATGACCATTAAGAGTATTAACTGAGGCGTGAATTAGGTTTACGCCGTATGGATCTGTTATGGTGTGTGTATATGTATATCAGCATACTTTTTTTTTTTTTCCATTGTTTTGTTGTTATACTACGAACTGAACAGTTTTGCATTATTTTTATAATATCCATACACATATAAATAGGAAATAACAAAGGTTTTGGAACATAAAATTCTAAAAAATATACATCGCATACGAATAATTTAGAAAGCAATTAATAAAATACACGACTATACATTGTCTTACCTTGACTACAATATTTTAATACATAGTACGATGTAAAAAAATTTTAATTAGAATTGTTAAAATTATTGTGTTAATATTTCTAGAATAAATTAAACATGAGAAAGAATTAGATATGAATTATTAAAATAATGTTACTTGTATATATATTATTTAGTTTTTCATGCAAACATGTTTTATCAACTTTTTAAAACATCTATTGATAATTATGTTCAATATCAAAATAAATTATAAACCAATTGTAAATTTCTTTTTCTTCTAAGCGAAGGCTCTAATAATACCCCCTGTAATTTTTCTTAAGTTTTTATTTTATTCCCTTTTTTCATGATAAAATGAGTATACAATGGCATGTACTATAAAAAAAAAAAAAAAAGCACAAACACGTGTAATTATATTACCTAATAATTGCTGTAATTATATGAGAAAAAAAATAAATTTTAGATTATTTCATACGAATTATATCCCATAGTAGAATTACATGTAGGACTTGGCATTTGTTATTATAAATATGACACTTTTTAAAAATGCTCAATGTAGATGTTAGATTATTTAGTTTCTAATCATATATTACAATAACTTTACTGTTTTCTTTTATTTTAGAAGGGAAAAAACTTACAGAATTTGAAATATCATTTATGGAACCAAGTATATGGGCTTTTTGAAATTTGTACAAATTTTTTTTTTTTTTTTTTCATGTATCTAGTGACTAAAATGTTAGTTAATAAGTAAAAAAAATAACCGTGTCGTTGTAAAAGTGTAAGAACTATACTTTAATAGACTATTAAAAGACATATCATTGTATATAAAAAATGATATACAATTTTTTAAAAAGGTAATTTTATAAACCCTTTAAAAAAAGAACAAGGTCAGAAATAATGTGATTATTGTGCTCATAGATGTCTCTGCAATACAGGATTTATGAACTATGCTTTGGTTTGATGGAGCTCGTTTTTGGAAATTAAATATAACATATTTTTGATTTATATATGTATTTTCATAAAAATATCTTTAATGTTTTACCTTCGTTTATAATGTATAGATGTAATTTAGATTTATATTATTAACAATATATAAAATAATTGCACGAACATTAGTCAGACGTAGAACACTTTGAACAAGTGCTTTTACATAGAACTTCATGCTTATTGTAGTAATTCATAATATATTACTCCTCCAGATGTGACATAGCACTATATTCACAATTATAATTTGAATATTTTTAAAATGTATTAACATTTACAATGCGCAATAAAATAATTTACATGAATTTCTTAGCCATATATTTACTATATTTATTCATAATGTGAGTAAGAATTTTTAATAAAATCTTTATGTTTATTAATTTTTGATAAAGGAGCAAATTACACATATGTATGTTTAAAATAAAACATCTTAAATGTTTTTTTTTTTTTTTTTTTTTTTTTTTTTTTTTTTTGCTAGACTTGTGTGTAAAGAATAAAATAAAAATTAATACAATATAGAAGTTCACTATTTATTAACATAGCTACAAGGGGGAAATTACGTTTTAAAAAAAAATTATTAGTTGCAGAATATGTTATATAAATAGAATTACACATATTTATAGCACGGACTTAAATAATTGTACACAAATATTTGGACTTCATATGATTCATAATCAATTGCACACGTCTAAATATACTATAATGATAATTTTTACAAGACGTGGGACTTCGATATATACATTTAATGAATTATAATGAAAGGTTAGTATGGTACACAAATAAAAGCACTGTAAATATGCAATTTTTATTACATATATATTTTGAAAAAAATTTTGACCAAAAGCTCAGTATTATATGTACAGCTTTATAGAAATTTAGACTGCACAAAAAAGCTATTAAATACATAACACAAAATAAATGCCAATGATAGACTTGGGATTATTTAAAAATACATTTAAATTTATACATGTATAATCATTTAAAATATATATAAATTACGTTTTTAATAAAATATGACTACTTACTATTTTTTTGTAAGTATAAATAAATAAGAATGCCGATAACAGAGAAATTACTAATGAAAAATAAAGAAATTTGAATTTCTCAAAAAATGGCCTATAACATTTTAAGACCCTATAGAAATATTAATAAAATGTAAGCCTAATATAGTAAACATAATTCTAAATATGGGAATGAAGTAAGCTTTTTGGGAAATGTGCTTTTCTTCCTTAATGTGATGCAATTTGCTATGATTATTGAATGTTTTATTCCAGAGTAAAAGATTATTTTATCGCATATGTACATTTTTTATAAATTATTGTACATATAAAAAAATTATTTTTTGAATTTATTTACATGGATATACTCATGCATGATTTAGGTGCATTTGCTATTTCATTATTGTGTTGACTTGACATATATATGTTGACCTTATAATTTGGATTATATTTTTTTGAACTCTGTAATTTTTCACATTATGTATACATATAGACAATATGCAACTGTTTTAAGATGAATGTATTATACAATTATATTGGTTCAGCACAAATTGCATACTAATGATATTCTAAATATATATTAATATATCAACAGTATGATGACCCATCGTTTTGAAGAATCCACTATTTATCAAATTAAGGTTTATTAAAAATAGATATGAATAAATAATTGTTATACAGAATGGATGTTATCATCGAATATACACAGTGTAACAAATTACAAGAATTTTGTAAAAGGTGAGACATTTATAACCACATCACGTAAATTGTTATAGTTCATACGAACATATTAAGACAGGTATAGTTTAGTGTAAAAAAATTTACAGTGTTGTAAAAATTAAAATGTGCTGATTGCAATGCTATCAATTATTTTTATTACTAATTATTTTTATTTAAAATTATATCATTATATATTTTAGTTTAACCTTATATATAATTCACAGTAAATTTTTACAACACAAGATGTACATAGTAAAAGATAAAACAAATAGGTAACATAGAACTATATTTAAAACATTATATATTATATAAGTAAAATACTCCTTGGTAATAAGAAAACAAATGTCAAATTATATAAAGAGCCACATTCGCTAATAATCGTTTAAAAAATGTTTAAGTAAATGAAGAATATATTAAGATAATATTATAATAAAGTATTCAATAAATATAATGTTATACACTAACATTATTTTATATTGTAAATTATTATACGCTGAAAATTATAAAAAATATTAAATACACAGTACATAATAAAAATAATGCCTCTACTAATATCCTTTTACATTTTATTCAGTCTAAAGCATAATAATTATATATATTGATTCGTATATATAAATAAACTACAAAACACACAATTAAAACCGAAATACTATGGAAAGTAATATATAGCTATTTATATAACCAATAAAATAGAGCATTAACATGTATTTTACATTTATGTGAACCAAGAATAATAATGAAAATAATAATATCAATATAATATATCATAACGTTATTAATATTATAATAATATACAATAATTATAAAATTATTCATTAAATTATAGATATGGTATAACAACAATGTAAAAGATAAAGCTAAACAATAAAGTCTGTGTGGTAAAACATGAACAATAAAGTGTGTGTAGTAAAACAAAAACAATAAAGTCCGTAAGATGAAACACGAACAAATACCTCTTAATAAAAAGCCCTAAATTTTTTAAAAACGAACATTAAAAACAAGGTATTAAATTCTAAATCCTATATAATGAAACATAAAATAAGAATGCTTAACCCAAAACCTTGAATACAAAATGGCAAACACTAAAACCTGAAACCTAAAGCTATGAAACTTTAGTCCAAAGTCCTATATCTTAAAAAATGAGCACTAAAAAGACTTAGTGTTGAACTCAAAATTTTATAAAATCAAACTCAAAACGAAAATGCTAAACATTAAATTTTGATTACTAAAGGATAATCCCTAAAACGTGAAACGTAAAAAAAAAAAAAAACTATAGGAAAATATAAAAGGACACATAATATATATTATAGAATGCAGAATGAATTAAAAAAAAAAAAAATTAAACTAAAATTCACGAAATAACGAAGAAAAATCCTAACTAAAAAACATATTTTTGAAATTAGTGAATAAATGACGAACTGTAAACAATTCATAAAAACACTTGAGAAAAATATAATAAAAAAAATATATAAAATAAAGAGGGCAAAAAAAAAGTGTAAGAAATTTTGGATATAAAAATTAATATAATGCCTTAAATGCTAAAACTTGTTTCCCTTCTTTTTTTTTTTTTTATTAGACCTTGCAATAAACTATTTTTTATTAATTATTAGCTCTAATTGACTAATAAAATATTAAAGGAATCTGTAGAAATGTAAAATACTTTATATATTTTTTATTACCCATAAACGCTGTTTTTATTACGTTAATGTAGATACTAATAAACAGTACAATAATTTTGTACTAACAAAAAACCAAAATTATATATGAAAAAAAAATAAAATAAATAATCTAGATATTTACAAATGTTAAATTCATGTCGATGACATCACTAATTTTTTAAATTCGTTCACATTCTTTATTTAATTATAAAGTTTTTTAATCGTGTTCGAAAATAATAATATAAGCTTTAAAAAATTGTAAACTAATTGAAAAATATACATGGTTCTCTTTAAAAAAAGATTGTATTTTAATATATAAAATAAATGCATGTACCTATAAACGCCGAAGTATTTGCATGAAAACATTAATAAAATCATTTTTTAAAAAATCATTAAAATTTTATATATAGTTCTCAATCTTTAGAATTAATAATTATATCTAAGATATATTTATTTTATATTCTTTCCAAAAAATAAAAATAAAAAATAAAAATTGTTAAGTTTAAAAAAATAATCATGTTTATTTCCCATAATTTCGTTTTCATTATTTATTAGGTTTTCTATTCCAATAACTTTTACACAAATTTATTATGTTTTGCCATTTTCCTTTTTTCAAAGAACTAATTTTGAATTAAAATATCAAATTAAAATGTATGCGGTTTTATATGAAAACGTAATTTCATTAGAAACACAACTGCGTTAAATAAAAATAAGTTTTGTTAAAAATGAACGCAAAAATACTTTCACCGTTATTTTTTATTGTTTTAATTGAAGTTTCGTTGAACCAGCGATGTTCTGGTAATCCTGTAAATAAGCATTCAATATCATAATAATATATTCCATTGTTTATATAATTTAATTAGTCATAAAGTTTATATACTCATAAGTCAAGTATATATATTTTTCTAATTTTTGCTTAGAAATGGATGAAAAAATTCAAATATGAGGACAATTATTGGAACCCTCATGGTATAGGAAAAAATAATGCACAATCGCATCTAAGATGTTATTTTGACGAAATTAACAAAAAAAATAAGGAGAAAAAAAAAAAATGGAAAGTTTGGTTTGATAAACATAAAATCAAAATTCAAAAAGAATTAAATAATGTAGAGGTTAAATTTATTAAGAATGTGGAAATTGGTTGGGACAATTTTATGAGAGAAACTGAAAATAAATGGTTGCATTATAATGATGACATGAATAAAGAGTATAAATGTACCCTGTATCCAGAAGCATTAAAATGGGGTGTAATACGTTGGATTGCCTGGTTTAAAGAAACAGGACTGGTTTGCTTAAAACAAGATTTTCATAAATTTATGACTAAATATGGAAAGGAGCACCAGACTGAAGTAAAGAAAGTGTTGCAAAAATGGCATAATGTTTATTTAAATAAATGGTGTAATCAACCATGGAAACTCGAAGAAAATTATCATTGCAAAAAATGGGAAAATTTCGGTTCAATGATTGATCCATACTATAATGTAAAAGCATATCAATGGAAATGTTGGATGGAAAGAACAAAACTTGAACATAAAGAATGGGTAGATAATCTGAGACATGCAGAAACAAATTTCCCTATTTGGAAAGGATGGAAAAAGAGAAAATATGATATGTATAAGTTGTGGTTAAAAGAGTACAGTAAACAGTGGATAGCTAATGAACAATGGAAAACATGGACAGAAGAGAGAAAAAAACATATTTTGTCTAAATCTGAACAAAAAAAACCAGCGCAAAAAAAAACTGTCCAGAAGAAAAAATGATAAATAAATCTTATACCTGATTAAAGGAAAATAATTCTTACATTATGACTCAATTACGACATTGCATTTTATACATTTTCTAAAGAATAAGAAATATATAAATGAACAAGCTTTTTAACCATTATTATTTTATTCACAATATGTAATCTTTTTGGTATATAAGAACCTAAATTATTTCAGAATATAGTATTTGATATGCGCATATATATGTATAAATATTTGTCTCAGTTATGAATTAATATGAGAATATTATTTTCAATATATTGAATAGAATATATATATGTATGAATTTCGTCCAGCGTACTATAAATCTTATTCTGTTTATCTTTTTTATATTTGAATGTTGCAAATTCTTTTTGAAAAAATATTTTTTAGTGTATTATCGTAAAATCCTTACTAGGTTTATGTAAAAATCATATACCATTTATCTTAGCTGTACTTGAACGCTGTTCTTTATTTTTTGTTTGTTCAGTTACTAAAACTGATCATTATAATGTTCTATAGCTAAGATTTTCTATGTCAATGTGAAACTTTCATTTGTTAAATTTGCATTTTATATTACATAATATTTAGCTATTGTTCTCATTAAAATTAGGATAATATTATAACTATATAAGGTCCTGAAAAAGGTACCAAACTTCTTTTTCAATATGAGCCACGTTGAAATTGTGCCAATGTGCATAAATCTACAATTATATTATTGGTTTATCAGCGTTATTTTTTTTGTCAATTTGTATTTATCGGCCCAAATTTATCATAATATAAAAAATATCCTTGACAATATGACACTAAACTAGGATAAAATCAAATTCTTATTTCATACTCATTGAACTTATAATATTTTTATGAATGGTCATTGTTATAGTGAACTAAGTTTTTTACTTACATTTTTTTTTATTAATTTTTGTCTTACATTAAGGTCTCAACTGCAATTATATTTTTCATTTCCTTGTAGAATACAATAAGAACATCAAGGTATTCTTTGTATTCATTTTAACTTTTTCTGAATTTAAGTAATTTTTTTGAATAAAATTTTTATTTTCTCATTGTATGAATATTAAAAAAAAAAAAAAAAATTAACATGGTTCATGTTTTTTTATTATACCTTTAAAAATTTTTTTTATATAAAAATGATAATAATGAATCTAGATATCTGTAAACATGTTGGTAATTATTTTATTTATTCTTTATTTATTTAAATTAATTGAGGTCAATGAAAAACAAGCTTGTTACATTAATAATTTTTAGGGATTAATCAGTAACATAAACATTAAAAATCAAATAATTATTATATATTAGGTTGAATTGTCAAACTGTGAAATTTCTCCCTATGCCTGTTTATACTTGAA